GGCATAGGATAGATTTAGAAAATGTGGACATCCTGAGACGGGGTTTAAGATTCACACCACAGCGACTGGTGGCCGAGGCGGTGGAAATCGCCAAGCATCCCAATGTGAATAGAATAGAGGGGGTAGAGCTTGCAAACGTGTGGAGAGCGGTCCTAGATCAGCCGAGATGAGACGAGGTGGTGTGCAGTTATCAGCGAAATGGTCTGGGTCTAAAAGTACAAAACCCAAGTAGAGTTAGATCCAATTGACGACCCCACCCCGATCCCCAAACTAATTGTCCCAGTGCCCTTGGACGAATACTGGTGAACGAAATCTGTGAACGACCACAAGAGGAATTTTCCATTAAGGTGTCCCAGACTGAAAAAGCAAGGACAGAAAATCCGGGTTCATCATAAAGACGAATCCCCCTAAACAATCTATCGTAAATCTTAGTCATCCCCACTAATCAACAAACAGGAACACCAGACTGAACCCCAGCACTGATCAAGTCACTAGTAATAAGGAATCTCACGGATCGGTTCCCTGACTGCCTTCAAACCCAATCAACTTACTTACTTACTCACTTGGCCTGACGAAGCTTTTGTGTTAAAAGTGAAACGTTGCCCAGCAATAAATCCACCGATTGTTTACCAAATCCCCCTGAAACGATGACTTACCAATCGGTCCCAAACATTTCGCAATTGATTGACTAGCCAACCTTCTTCGGAGCATTGACCACAAGACTGCTTTTTGACGAGACTTTGGTGACACTGTATCTTCCCCACTATTCCGTCCACATATGACAGATAAAGTAAATGTAATTAGACTTTTTTCAATCTGTTTCAATCTTATTCACTTTGCTAAGTTGTCTCTCTACTTCCCCTGTTTTCAGTTTGTAGCTGTTCTCACACCGAAGGGAACAGTTTCGTCGCCTGGGACGTCATTGTCTACAGTTTGATCATGGAGGTGGAAAGATCAAATTTATTAGCATTTGCTAAAATGTCTGTGCGTGATGTTATTCAAAGTATGGAAAGAAAGCAGGACCTTATTCTTGATGAAAAACAGCAGCTAAAAAATCAAGTTACCTTTAGCGTCAATAGACTTTTGCTGCTCATCGAACACTGTTTGTGCCACGGGTTGCGCAAGGACATCTCAAGTGGGATGGAGATGTTTGGAAGTCCCACGGACACCAACAAAACCTCTATTTTACGTCGTGCCAAAGAACAAGTACTTTCCACGACCAGTTCCCTGTTCACACAAATTTGTCCGGACCCTTGGCCAGTACTGGTACACTTGAGCCGGTGTATATCTGGATCAGGCGATCTTAGTGATACAATACAGTCTATGTCAGAGATTCGCACTGGGTTAGGTCGATCGCGCGTTTGGATACGTCAAGCACTCATGCAAAAGGTGAGTAGTCCTGATAATTGTGTGATTGTAGCCCGATACGATTTAATGTATTTTTATCCAAATGAAAAGACGTAGTTCGCAAGTTCACAGATTCCTAAAAATGGTCAGGAGTCGGATGTTTTTGTTGGCCCCAGTTCTTCTTCACCTCTATCGCCATGACCATCATTGTCGCTATCACTAGCAATAGCATCACCACAACCGACCACAATACATCAGCAGTGAACACAGATGCTCGACCGCCATGAACGCGAATAGCTGGGGTTTACGGACGAGTGGTCATGTGAGACGGGGGCTAAAGGATGATAATGAAGGGTGGGAGGCATCCATGTCCAGTTGCTATGGCTGTCGCATGGGGTGCATTCATTCATTCGGTGTCGTCACCCATGCTACACCCGGGTGAGTTTTTACTTTTTGGCAGTTTTATGCCCGCTTCAGACTAGCAAGCAATGGACTAAGTCAACTGGATTGGTAGCAATGAATGCAGTGTATATTCACTTGTCAGCTGTGGCACCCTTCCGGTACCTAGCCGCCATGCCGCCCGAGGGAGGCACGAGGGTTGGGATACTGCCAGTTTGCCCAAGCTTAGACAGGGGAAGTCGAGAGGCAGAGGTCGGATTCGAACCACGGAGCTTTCGGTCAGGGAACCGTGGTGAAGGCTCACTGAACCGTTCAAACGGGCGTACCCGTCAAGCAAGATTGGCGTAAATCAGCAACTGTTCTCTCATTTCTTCGTGTCCTCAAACCCATCTGTGGGTTTGTGTCCTACAGCTGCTTTCATCTGTAAGTGATCCACCAGCACCGTCCAACGGGCTCTGCCCTGTCGGTAGTTCTGCTTCGTCAGTACCATTCTACATTAGAGCCTCTGCACAAGAGATACTTGGAGAACGTATGGGAAACGTTTGGACTATGTTCTACTTTGACATTTCATCTCCTCCAAGGCTTGGTTATATGTTCCACACTCTCCCACTTTCTGGTGATCGAAAATCTTGTAGCTTGTAGCTTGGTGCTGGATTGCGTCCGAGAAACCAGGGCCAAAAGGATACCATAGACAGTTCTCTGTGCTGTTCTTGAACTTGCCGGATTCACTTGAGTTGGTCTGTTAATTTATAACACTCGTTACCTACTTTCATTTTGGTTTCGTTGGCTGTTTAGGAAACTGTCCTAATCCACGGTCCAAATCAGTGTGATTACAGAATGGTTTGTCAACTCTAGTATTTTACTCGGATAACTTGTTAGGTTTATTTCATCCAGGCGATATTCACATTACTCGTCTACTCAACCTATGATTGGGCGGAAAAGTGATTGCAGTAGCCTAAGTAACTTTATACAGTGTAAGCTTGTATTATATCTCCAGTTGACTCAGCTTTTTGAACTCTACGTAGTGACCTCACTACTTGAACAGCTTTGCTTAACCAGTCTCTTTATTTGGTACAAACGTGTTGCAATATTAAAAAACAGTCACTGGTGGGATTTAAGGTGGTTGTCAGTCCTAACTTATTACAGAGTTTTCCATTCATGTGTCGAAGCGGGCAGTAAGTCAGTTTCACTCCTTTTAGTCTCTAGATGAGTTGTTGTATAGGTTGTGCGGTAAAACTCCCCAACAGAATATGCGAACGATAAGTTGTCACTCCAAGATGTGCTTCCAAGTCATCGACTATAAATCCATAGAAAATATCCTATTCTATTAGGATATTTGCTAATTTTCCCGTAGGTGATGTTTATTTTCTGGTAATTACCGCGAGCTGTGTACAACAGACCTTGGGACTCGTACAGCAGAGAAGCATCAGTAGTCCAACACTGATATTGTGCTATCAATGATAATGTTGATAATCATGATCATGATCATAATGGTTATAATAATTGTGTTCACTATGACCGAAATGATTTTATTGGGATTCATTGCCTGAAACCGGATATCCTCAGAGAATTACATGCCAAGTAGATTTCTTAACAAAATCACACCTGGAGCATTATTCGAACCCCCGACCACTAGCTTGCTGGACGGGTTTTCTACTCTCGGAACTACGCAGGGCGTTGTCCCTCGTCGTGCGCACGTGTGGTGCCTTTGATAGTTCAGTTGATAAAGCACCTCGGTACATAAGAGTTCGGTGGTTAGCGTCCATCCGCGGACGTGAATTTTGTCCGTATATTTAGACTCTAAATTTCGAAATCTGGTGGTCACAGAGGCAGAGTGATGGCTAATCATTAGTTGTTCGTCATTACATATCTCAGTGTCATTTTCAGATTGAGCTGTTGCTTCCAGCTCCTGATATCAGGTAACTATCTCTCCTGAATACGTTGGTGACTAGAAAATAGGATATTTCGCTTATACTATCTTGGCTTACCTCCGCCAGCTGATGTAACCAAAATTTCAAAGGACTTTTGTTATGTTAGACTAACCACAAGAGACCCACATGATCGGAGGTGAATTTTACTACACAGTTTGTGGGTTTTCTAACCGAGAAACACAGCTCAGTCCCCGCATCTTCGAATTTCAATATACCTTTCAGCTTTTCGACCCTTCTTTCTGTTTTAGGTTGTTATTGTACTTCTGGGGTTAAGCTCACCTTATCTATAAGCTTATAGTTTGGACCTTAACGTCATTTTGTATTTCTCTGGCAAAATGGCAGATTAGTCTTCGAGTGCTGTTAAGCATGTCCTTTGCATATTGTCGGTCGATTATCTCACAGTATGATCAGTCTACTTTCCTCATTTTTTTCAGAGACTCAGTACTTACTTTCAACATTTGGTCGACCCGCATTGTGAGCTTCCAGGTTCCATCTCACCTCCCATTCATTCGCCCCCGTTTGTACACATCGAACAGGGTGAGAAACGTAGTTGTGCGACCAACATTCGTGTATCACACACCGCATTCTACCATCCGGGAGCTATGATGCTGAGTGATGAGGGAATCGTCTTTGCTGGTCTCCTTGTTGGGTTGTCCTCCCTGGACTTCTGCTTCGTGTTGAAGGACAATCTGAGTGAGATGGATGGCGCAGTGAGTGGCCGTTTGCCATGATCTTGATACTCAAATTTCTTGGGTGTTTCTGATGGGGCTGTTGTAGGTCGCCGTCCTGCCGCACGTGGTCGTAGGTACACACCATTACTTCCCTGTAGGTTTCACCTTTCTGAAAATGCTAATGATTCATAGGAAGTCTCGAGTATTTTTGGGTCTGTGTCCTCTTTCCTTCATGCCTTCGTGGGCTGCTGGTACCATGTGCACATACCAAGTGAAATGTATGCTCCAGGACTGGATTTATCGGAATAACGCCAAATATAGCGAGAGATTTGTAGTCGCTCTGTTGCTGCTCTTTTTTACGTTTTGGCTTTCGGGACTTCAATCAGGAACTTTTAGCTGTCACATACGGTTGCGAATAGCACGGTAGAACAACGGCATGTACAAGGAAAGTTCGGGAGAGTAATCAGTTCTTGGTTTCTGTTTGTTGTTCTTAGGCACTTTTCGGCACACGCACACGCATTATATAATATATGCATATATATGGACTTCATCATCATTATTATCAGCTGTAAGGACCGCGTACTTATCGCACAGTAGTTATAGCTGCCACAGTTCCGTTCACCGATGATTTGGGTAGGCAGCTTGGCACTGGAGGCGAGAGCTGATAACTTAGTGCGTAAATACAGCAGTCAGCAAACTGTTAAGTGAGGGGATCGGGAACGGAGCTATGCATTGAAGGTAATAGCTTGGATGCATGAGCGCCAGTGAGGGCGCTACTGGGCCATGTCTGACAATGTCTGTAACCATTGATATGAGCCGTCTCGGGGTCCCCATCCAGGAAGACGGCAATGACCAGGGCAGCTTAGTCTGCTGGTATTGGCTTTTATACTCTGCTGCCAAGTCGTTGTTTGATCGTCTCTGACTCGTTTCCACCCTTAACATGGTTGTGCGAAAAGAACCCTTCGAGAAAGTCGGTTGACTGGCATACGGAGCACGTTACCAAGCCATCCTAACCTATGGAGTATAGTCAGTTCATCTACCGTGAGCAGATTACCTTTTCTGAAAAGTCTTCGACGTACTTCAGCATTACTGATCCGATGTTCCCACCAGACCCGTGCAATGCTCCGAAGACATCGAAAGTCTTTTAACGTCCTCGGCGCGCGGCTTTCATGTTTTTGATTCTTATAGTCATATGAATCACTCCTCGGCATTGTAAACCCGACCTTGACGGTCACGCCTACGCCACAGGTGATGCCGGTTCAAAAAAGCTGCTCTGGCTTTCCCAGTCCTGACAGATACATCATTTTTCGTGAGGTCACCGGGGCTGATACAGCCACCAACGTAAACAAATTCGTCTGCTATCTCAGTTGGTTCATCCTCAAGCATGAGGCTAGGGTTCAACCCTAACCAGTCTTGAAGCATCACTGTACACTTTTCAGGTGTGAAGCGCACGCTAAACTGTAAGGCAGAGTTATTCCGATTATTTAATATTGTTCGCATTACGACAGTGTTAATCCACTACGTAGATAAAGCAAAAGCTCTGCTCAACGACACTACCACGTATCGCCGTCTGGAGAATGATCAAACCTAAAAACTTGCGAACAAAATCAACAAGAGCCTGAAGCGACTGAAGGACCTCTAAAAGATCACACCCAAAAAATATTGGCGAATGAGAACCAGAGAATCCAATACCTCCGAAAGTACACAAGGAGACCACACCACTAAGGCCAATTGTGTCACTCCCTGGCACACCAACCTACAATCTTGCAAAGGAACTATGGAGAAGGGTCAAGTATCTCATCAATAAATCGCAACACTCAATCAAAAACGCACAACAGTTCTTGGATAAACTAAAGAATATGACAATAGAAGAGGGCGAAACAACGGTCTTGTTTGATATCAGCTCACTGTTCACATCAGTGGACGTTCATTCCGCAAAGACAACAGCTGCTGAACTAATGGACAATCACGGACCCCCCAGTGGATCCTAAGGAAGGAAGACATGTGAATTGTTCAACCTCTGTTTGACCACATACTTCGAATTCAACGGTGATTGCTACGAACAATTGAAAGGAGCACCAATGGATTCCCCAATTTCAAGGTTCATCGCCGAGATTGCAATTCGAAAACTGGAGAGGATCGTGTTGCCGGATATCAACCCGAAGCTGTGGGTACGTTATGTAGACAACACCTTTATCACCATCAAGAAGAGAGAACTACAACGAGAAATCTAATTGATAAACAGTGTATCCGATGACATCAAGTTCACGGTAGAAGAGGAAAACAACAACAAGCTGGCGGTTTTAGATATCCTCGTCACAAGGTTGCCGAAAGGCTACGCACACGGATCAAATTCTGAGCTACCACAGCAACCACCCAAACTGCCACAAACAGAGCTGCGTTCGGACACTATTCAAGCGAACTGAAACACACTGCAACACAGTAGAATCCAAAGCAAAAGAAGAGAAACGCCTATACAGAATCTTTCAAAGGAACGGTTACCCAAGGAATTTCGTCCGGAGAACTTCGAGAAAATGCAACTCAACCAACTCGACAACCGGAAACATAAGCAAAACAATCACATTACCATATGTCAAAAACATTTCGGAGATGACCGCCAGGATACTACGACAGCATACCATAAAAGTTGCCCACAGACCGACTGACACGTTGCGAAGACTACTATCAAAACCAAAGGGGGCACTTAATGCGATGGAAAAGACAAATGCAACAATTGTGAAAAACTACGTGGAAACAGGGAAGAAACTGTCAACCAGAATCAACGAACACAAGCTCTCCACCAGGATACACGACCAACTCTCTCTCATCTCTGCACAGGAAGGTGGAGGACACAGTTTCGATTGGAATAACGTCAGAATACTGGGCCAGGCAAGAACAAAGAAAGAACGCGAGTTCATGGAGGCGTGNTGAGATTGATCCTGTCTACCAGCCTCTGAGGACAAAGGAAATCCAGAACCACAAAACCCGAGGTCGAACAAGGACTCAATGAAGAAATCAATAGAACAGCAAACTACTAAAAATATGAGGTACGCTACAAGCCAACAGAGAAGCCAACCACGACGCAATACAGATCAAGATCGGGCGAATCGAAAGAGATCAATGGGCGACAGTTTCAGCAAGAGCGTGGCTGTAGGAAGCAAGAAATACAAACCACAACTCACTACAGAGTAAGATCGGACCAACCAGAATCCTGGTTACAGCGCAAAGGCTGCTCTTTGTAAACTATATAAACGCGGGCACGAAGAGAGGAACTACCCAACTAACAGCGCACTGAAGATGTCTCTCGAATGGTGATGAAACGTTTGCAAATCAATTGCCAAGTTCGGTGAACAGATCAACAGCCACCTGATCAATTACCAACTAGTGCACCCGAGCTACCAATATTCCAACACATTACCAGTGTTAATCCAAGAAGAGCTATGTCGTCTACGTACTCGATAGTTGTGAGCAGACGCCTGGGGAGCACATCGACCCAAGTGGTTAGAGCGCGAATTTACTGACCGGAAGGTTCGTATTTCAGACCCGACCTCTGCCTCTCGACTTCCTCTGTCTAGGCTCGGGCAATCTGGAAGTATCTCAACCCTAGTGCTTCCTTCAGGTGACATGGCAGCTAGGCACCGAAACGCTGGTAAAACTTAACCAAGGGTCTGCTGATTGAGTGCGAAACACCTTTTATATAATCCTCTTTCTCCGCAGTCGGCACAGTCTAGGTTGGCTAATTTGGTTCTCTTGGCCATATGGACTCTATGACGAAATCCGTTCGCTCAACTACGTTTGTTTGCTTGTTGGTGAAAGCGCATCGCTAATTGACACCACTACATTGACAGTACGGTAGTTGTTGTCGCGTTTTGTGCATAGTTGTACTAATTAGTTTTGGTAATCTGACACTTGTTCCAGTAACCATCACACTGGCCTTGCGGACTGTGGTACATTGCCTGTTACGTTTCATTTTGTGGGTAGCTGTCAGTGCCAATTCTAACCACTATATTTAACAGGTAATTGTATTCAACTGACCTGTGGTTTTGGTATATGGACTGTCCATTTTTTTACCATTCTGACTAGCATTTTTGACCTTAGGCAGCTACCCTTTCAGTAAACTTCGTCTACCAATCTACTTGCTTTGCTGTACTCTGCCGTTTGTCTATCTTTGTATGTACTTGTTAAAAGTTACAACCGATTCCCTATCATGTCTACGTGCAATGTGACGTCGACCGTTTGGAACGGTTCATCAATAAGGATAAGTGAGTTGTCGTTCCGCATCACTTTGTTGTTACCAATCGTGCTCCGTTTTGGTTTATTCCGGCGCGGTGTACTCATATCGTTTGTATTCATTCATTTAGCGATTCATTTTTGGAGAGGGATCATAAGAGAGAATGATTTGCTTTCATCCCATTCTTTATTCCCGGATCCTTTTTAGAGAGAAAACTCGACCAAAAATCAACTTATGCGAAGAGTGCTGATTACAGTACCCAAGCTTTTGTCAGACTAATGCTTGACGACCTTGCTGCTCGTTCTTACCCACTCTGTCTACCCACTCTTTTCCATTCTAAACTGAGCTGCACTGGTGATAACGCACCCTGTTTTTTAGGAGAACTACAGTAAATCCACAGTAGACCTCGTTTTATGTCATTCGGGTGCCATTTGCGACCAAGCAGTCGTAGATTAAAAATATCAGGTCTTTGTTCGGATTGTCATTTTTGTATAGCAGCGAAGCACATGCGTTTGAATACTCGAGTTGTTATCTACGATTGTGAAACTAGCCCTTTATAGTAACCCCTGTTCTTCCGCACAGATAGCAGCGCATTTCTGCTTTGTTTGTTTTGTTGGTGTGTCTATATTGGCGGTATTTGGCTGTGTCGCGCAATAAGTCAACGCCAACAACTGTATTTGACCACAAAAAATCGTTCAGCTGTAGTACCCTTTCGGTGCCTAACTGCCATGCATGCCGAAGGTTGCACGGGGGCTGGGATACTGCCAGATTGCCCAAGCCTAGACAGGGGAATTCGAGAGGCAGAGGTCGGGTTCGAATCACAGAACTTCCGGCCAGTAAATTCGCGCTCTAACCACCTGGACCATGTCGCACCGTAAAGGAGTTTTACATGGCAAGTGATACGAGAACCAGCGTTCGGCTTGCGAGATTCCAGCTTATTTTGGTGAATAAGTTGTTGTCTATGATGATGGTGATGATTATAATTGTGGTGGTATGCCCTGTATCTCGGGAGTATTATACCACGTGTGTGACATTCGCCAAACAACTGGGTACCAACGTTCTGCTTTCTTTAACTTCTCCAGATCGATGCGGTAAGTCTCTGAGCAGCCGGTGTCGTCTAGATTTAGAACTGCTGACGCAATAGAAAGTTTTTGGATGAAGTGGGGAATTACAATCTGGACGTCATTGTCCTATAGTGTCGATGTATTTCATGAAATCGGTAAAGCGGTCCGTCTTCTAGAATGTCCTTGAGAAACTCAGCTAGTGTAGAAATCTGTATGCCAGCTTTGATAAAAATCCGGAGTGAAAATGTCTGACTAGTTGCCTGTACATTCATCATCATAAACTGAAACCCAAAGTTGGTTAAAATACAATGGTTTCAAATATAACTTCACTTTTGCAGATATTCGAATAGTGTACCTTTACACCAACGTGCTAGTAGTGTGCGCTTTTAAGAGGGGTAACATTAATCTATGAATGGTTGTAAGGGCGGAATTAGTTACCAGACAGGTAGGATGTGCTAGGAGTTATGCGTGCTACTTTAACTCCGCATCTGGCATTTTTCGCACGCCGTAACCATGATTGTTTCGCCCTGGAGAAACCAGCCATTGTTTGGAAAGTCTCTCCCTGAAGGTGCTCGGTCGGGGTTACGTTTGACCTGATGTAAAACCCAGCTGTGATCCGTTATATATGTAGAACTCATGCTTATCAACGTGACTGATGCGTGCGTGCCTCAGGGGCTGACGTAACTTCGCACACAGAATTCAACATTTTCTGGAACTAAATAACGTTTTTATCTCAAAAGGAATCAGCTGCGGACCATAGACGAACGCACCACTGATTTTCGGACGTGTCCACCTCTTCAGGTGCATATGGCGTACCACCACAACCAGTCAAGTAGTCGTAAGCATGTCTGCCTCACGTCATTTTACCGCATTTCAGACCCTGAGCTAGGGATAGCTCGGTGGTTAAGGCTCCAGCTTAATGACCAGAAGGTCCGCGGTTCGAACCCAGCCTTTGCATCTCGACTGTTATTTTCTAGGCTTGGGTGACCTGGCCGTATCTCAGTCCTCGTGCATGGCAACTAGGCACCGGAAGGGTGGTACAGTTGAATGATTAGTTCAAACCTTAGTCTGACTAAGGTTTTATCCCTCCATGAAGGTGCAACTTGGGTTCATAGTGCTCTGTATGGAGTAACTGCTGTGTTGCACTAGGACAGGAGAGGGATGACTGTCGACAATTGTTGTCGCGTGTCCGAAACTTTCCGAGTTTTGTGGGTTGTGCGCTACTGATGATTCCCATTAAGAACGAGACACCTATACAGTGCTTCTCGGCTTTTCAGATAGATTCACTGATAGGACGAAATCTCAAGGGCAAATTACAAAACCTCACACTGCAATCAGTTTCCGAACATTTGTGGCTTCATGTGGTAACAAGTAATACTGCAACTGTTGCCCGTAGTACCTCTATTGGTCCACCTTTTTTTCTGACTTAATGCGCCTTGTGAACTCGAGATTTGATGGGGCTGAATACATGAGGTTTTGTTTGTCGTGTCCGCGGTTCAAGTTCAATGCTTACTTCGGTTTGCGACTGGACTACTGTTCCACTTCCCTTCATTTGGCTGAAGACATTGAGAGACACTTCTGCAAGCGGATTTTATGTGTTCGCTTCATATTCAGGTCACTGGATTGAGTGTTTGGAGGTGTACACACCGCTGGTATCGGAAAGCCGACATTAACCGCCTTTCTTACATGGCGTTAAATGATCTAAAATAGATGTTGGGCAGCGATGCACAGGTGTTTCACACAGATGATGTTAATAATGACCTAATGCGATAATACTACATCAAGTGTGTTTCAAATACTATTCAATACTTACCTGTGCTTCACCTCCACAGTCTCTTCCCTGCCGTCGATTTGTCCTCAGTGATTGATCAGAAGAATTTTCTGGAAGAACTCAATAGAAAGCTTCAGTAAGTTATCGTCCGTCACTCGGTTCTTGAGGCACAGTAACATGCCTGTTTTATAGCACTGTTCCTGAATTCACCCCCCTCCCAAGTTTATGGCTAGTATCTACTACCCCTTATTCTGCAGAAGTTGCGAAAAACGAATGATTGGTACGGTATCTGGGGATTTACACTTGCTATAGCTCTCACGGAAAGATGTGAGTCACTGACTGGTTGTCCTATGGCTCAGATCTATCATTGGCTTTCTAAATGCTCTTTACTAAACTCAGGCCTGCCTCCATGCTTCCTTCGGAACAAATGATGCCTATGTACTTAAACGGGCACCACAAGTGACAGTTCGTTCTGTTTACTGTTGTCTGGTTACAGCGATTGCCTCAATATGGTTATGAACCCCTCATTTTTCCGTCACTAATTTTCTAGAAAGCGCCTTGTTGCTGTTGGTTCTCTGTATTTCTGGATTACCGACCCGCTGCGGTGGCTCTCTTGCTTCGTGTCCTTCGTGTCTAGTAGCTATCGTTTCATGGACACGTTCCATTTCTGTATGCATGCCATTTTCCATTGGATTCCTTATTCTACCTAGGTGCGCTGGGCCAGGTTATCAAGCGAGGAACAGTTTGACACCCTTAGGAGCATCCCATAATAACAATACTAATAACAATACTAATAATAACCAGCCTACTAGTTTTAGGACAAGTTGACTACCGCGTTGTTAATCGAATCGACCGTTCAGTAGATGACTTTTATTTGTAAATAAACTGCAACTGTAATGCTGCAACTGCGTGATCCTTCCGAATTTCAGAATAATTCTGTCTCATTTTGGTTATTCTTTTTACTTATCAGGAACCAAGTGGAACAGCATATTGTCGAGCAGCGGAATCAGCACGATCGGTTGCAAGAACTGACTTCAGTTATGGACATGTTGAGATTGGAAAACCGAGGTCTCAAGATCGCTGTTAGTGAACTAAAGCGTCAGTCTTTTGTGGATTCCGCAGTTGGATCACCAGGCGTTACACCGGTGAGCTTGTTACTCGGTTGCTTCTTGTTCGTGTGTTTCTACTTTACGGCCCACCCATTTGTACCTGGCCCCTACCACTTTCCAATTCCCATTTTGTGGCCATGTAGTCACTAGCCCGAGTATACCTGTTTTCTGCTAATGGTTCATGATGAGCTCGTGTATGGTCAGTTGTAACTTTCCCCAACTACTCTTCTGAACAACATATAGTGCGACAGAGTTTTTGAAACCTTGCGGCAAACACACATTCACCCGTTTTTCTTTATGCGCACAGCCGCTATGCACTGAATGGTGATGCTTGTTTTATTGTCAAATCAACAGAGTCTATCCCGTAGGAGTTATTACTTCAGTTCGGGATTCCAACTAGAGAACTTCTGATCCCGGACTATGTGCCAGTGATAACAGTGATTCAACTGCAGTTTGATCTGCAATAGACTGTATACTTAGTTCATCACGTGCGTAGTGCGTATGCCGCTTCGAAATTCTGTGTTGGACATGTTCAGCTGCTACTTAAAGCTTCAGAGATTCACAAATGTTGCCACGTTTACAAGTGTCTGTAGGTGTCTGCAGAATTAGATGATTGTGGCTCTAATAACCGGTCAAACCATTTTGCCTGCAGCGGCCGGCTGTGTTCATGGGTTCACGTTGTACGCAGTTTTAACTCAAGCGACCGATCCTATACTCCTTACTTGATTGTTTCAGGTACTACGTCCTCTTTCCAATGCAAATTCGCTAACATTGTCGATTAGCCCCGGGTTTCTCGCCGTATCCCTTCTTGTGGTGTGCTAGTGCGATACATTTTTTCACTGTTAGATTTTTCGATGTCTCTGTTTTGCAAAAGAATATTTTGGTTGCCACCTAAGTCTTCCAATCACTTTTTTGGTTCATATCAAACAATATGATTTATTTGGAACACTGGAAGAACGTAAAGTGTAATCGATTAGCTAAGCTGGAGCTAGCACAGAAAATAAGACACGAGACACGGGCTGATGTTCGTGGTTTGGTACCTTTCCTTTGGGTCTGAGCTTCCTTCCGACTGGATTCTACCTGTGAACCAGCAGGTAGTACAGCTGGATAGTCGGCAAATTAACATATATCTCCTATGCATATGTCGCAAAATACTTGTGATGATCAACCGGAAAATATTCGCCTGGCCACCATCGATGAGACCCAAACTTAGTTCCAATTTTTCATTAACTCAGTCTATTCGATCCAAATATGGTTATTTAACTCACACATTTTCGTTTTCTGAAGTTTTGATTTTATGAATATCCAGATGACAATCTATCGTATCGGGTCGGTCGTTTTACGTCTTCTGAAAGAGATCACACGATCATTGAACTCCACCGGTACACAACCTCCAGTATATCCGTATTTTTCAATGTGACTGATTTCATCGTCGAAGCTTTTTTCGTCTTGTCTAGCACATCCTTAAATGTAAACCGTCTTTTCCACTGAGTTGTTGGTCGTGATTGTGTGCACAATGTATGCCTCTGGTAGGCTGCCGTCTTTATTTCTTACATGCGCTGCTGTGGACATGCTTCACTGCTATGCTACGCACAGCTAGCATACGCACTGGGATGATTTTGGATGTTTGGTACAACTGATTTCTCTACTCGAGTGAAATCATCTGTCCTTTATAGTATCGCGTGGTCTGCAAGAAGCGGTTGGACAGCAGTACCCTCATGTATTAACGTTCTTGTCATCATTCGTTCGGATTTGAGTTTTCGCTGACTCCCCTACATGGGCAACCAGAAGACCCCACTTTTATGTCCTTATGCTTTATAAGCATAATCTCTCCAGAAAGGGTATTAGACATGACAGTTCGTTTCCCTCAACATATAGCTTCGAACTCTTTAAGGTGCTTTTACCTACAAGTAGTCTATGGTCAAAACAGGTGACTACACCTTTTCCGGCGATTCCTGCAGTTCTGCAGGAACTCAGCCCGAAATCCATTCTTCGCAACTTCGAAGGAGGCGATTAAGGGAAAACGAAAAGGTCTTTGGGGCGATATCTGGTGTTCGTGCCCGCTTTTGCAAACTGGCATTGCAACCGATCAAACTTATTGAGATGGTAGTTGATCGCATGCGTTTTTGATCGAACAGTAGATCTGACACTGCTCCCTTGCATATGGCCGATTACATTCCAAAGTCTTGACATCTTTTCCTTCACATCGTTTGCATAGTAATGGACACGGTGTCCCCTACCCAAACTGGCTTAGGTTACTTGCTTATTCATTCACTCAACTCTTTATTCCATTCTTCCCAACTGTCCTTCAGGACAGTTCAGTTTCGAGTAAGGACTCGGATATTTCTCCAGAAATTACGTGTATCAAGAACAATGCAGCCGCCACTCCATCCAATGAAACAGAACTTAATCGCCTACAGCGTCAGCTGGAAGAAAAGACAATGTTACTGGATTCGCTGCGCACGGAGCTGAGTGAAAGCCAGTCTCGGATAGCTTCCGTTTGTCGTCAGTTAACCGTGAGTCCTTTTTTGGCACTTGCCAGCTCAATCAATGATCTACTTAGTTTGTACTTTGCCAGCGGGTATCGACTACTGCTACCAGTTTTCCGCATAAAGGGTTGCGTTTCCACAACACTTATTCCATTCTTCAAGAGCGGCAACACAGCCGTTCTGGTATCCTTCTTTGAGGATCGGTTTTTCAGCGACTTACGGGTCGGATTCCGTAGTGAATGGTGTGAGTCTCAGAACTAGGTAGCTGTACTCAGATGCAATGCGGCTACCGAATATGCCATGAAAGATCATTTTGATAGCTCGATTTAGGTAAGATGCATGGGCCTGGTGCACGGCACCTTGGTAGGAGATCATGATAACACTCTATTTGGACTGAATTCTGTAAGTAGTGGAGATCTTTGATGCACTTGTGGTTCTTTGACCTCATGAAATGAAAATCCGAACGTCAGTGTGGGGTAGGTTGACTGGATAGTTTGCAAGTATACACAAGACCTAACTAACTTCAGGGCAACCCAGTCAACCGTCGGTAGCACCGCTTGACTTGCAGTTGTAGTCTGGTTTGAACTAAGGGAAGAGTAGGTTGTACTTGCGAGGCTTTGAAGTTGTTCAAATGCCGTCAGAACGTTTGTTGCGTGACATTTTTCCGTTTCTACAGGCACACTGAGTGTTGTGGATGGTCTGGCTCACGCAGAGGTTGTCCCTGTTGTTTCACTTTGCCAGACTGCCCCATTAATTAATTAACTAAATGAACAAGTCCTCAGCTTATTAGTAATCAGCCAAACTTTCATTTCTCTTCAAGCACTCACAAACTCTATTGGAACAAAAACAATTGCTTATTCGACAACTGGAGGGGAAAACAAAAGGGATGAGTACGATTATGGATCAGATGCACGAACGGTAAGTGCCATTGCGTTTCAGGCACCTCGATTCCTGTTTGTTATACACTTTAGTTGTTTTATACAGGTTATTGATTATCGTGTATCAGCCCCCAACACGTAGTTGATGAAGCCGCGTCCAACTTCGCAGTGTTCGGTTTGCAGCTGGGACTTTCCTAACCTTTTAGTTTAATATTCTGTGCCCGGTGAGCTAGCTTCATTAGCGAGTCAATTGTTACAGTGCACCCGAGTTGGACGCTTGCTGCACTCAACCGTTTGATTCACCACCGGTAACATGTCACTCGTTTCAGGAATCTGGTGGCAAGTGGCTCTTTACGATCGTCCATCTCTGACCATCATCCCGGCGTGTGCACTGGCCGGAGTACCATACTAACAGAATTTTTTGGTTAAACGGCAAGTCAATATTCGTTCTATCGGCACTTGGGAACCATTGGAAGTTCAGACATGACCCTCAAATGAAATAGCCATCTTTCTTACTTAAAAGTTTACTTATGTGGCAACGTTGAGAAATTTATCAATCCTAATAATAAAAACCTCAAGGCTGTATGGCGTTTCTAAACTTATCACGCTATCTCCAGATCGGGCGTTTCGAATGTGGTATAGTAGTTTATACTAATTCTTCTCTCTTGTGGATAACTTAAGGGTGATCATGTTTTTCCAGACGACCATTAACTGTGGGCTACCTGAACGTCCGAAAACGATGGATCGAAATGATGACCAGGCGGGCCGTCCTGCAGGACGTGCTGAAGAGGTACAGGATCACTGGTTGACCAAGGAAGCCTTCCAGAAACGGCTGATCGGCTACCGAAAGGAGAACAAGTGGTATCATAGTGTCTATTCCGCTTTGTCCTACTGCACTGAGGCAGTGATTCACTTAGAACCTGTGAAATTCCTACACGTCTTGCTTCTTTACATCTGATACTGTTATCGAAGCTGCGTGATAGTGAACAGTGCATATACCCCAACGCTATGCTCAACAGAATACGACAAAGATAGTTTCTACATCAGTCGTCTTCCTCAGTTAGCTCAGAAGAACGATGACATTCTCTTGCTGGGATCGAGATCGGTCGACCAGTTAAAATCGTTCCCTGTTGCCAGACTTTCATGGGCACACCCACGCGATGGTTACTCTTCTGCTTGTTTATGTTATTGTTGGTCACTGAGGCGTTCGATGGGGGCGGATCACCAGCTTGTCTGAATCTAAAACTCCTGGAAGATCTGAAAGTCATTTTGAAATGCGTCAGACAACTTGGAACGTCACTAGCTGAAGACAGTAGTTAAACAGATAAATTAACTGCGTCCAAGGTACCCTGGCCAGTCTGATGACAACACTCGATGTATGAGAGTGTTTGGAGAAAACAAATTGCATGCTGCATATTTTGTCTATCCTGGCAGCGACACTAAGAAGTGTATGCTTTCAAAACGACCTAATTCATCAGCCTAACGGCATCTAGGACAAATGGTGGAAGAAGGTGAATAGATTGAAGTATATGCTGCTCTGTGGTAGCACAAGGAGTTTTACAATTTTCAGTAGGTCATCTATGGGCCAAGTATCAAGCCGATCCGCGTCTGGTCGTAATGAAGCAGGCATCACCTATAGAACTAATGAATATGTGGCCAGACGAATTTCTGAATCGACGGACGAACGTCGACTGGGCTGCAGTCGGTAGCGTGCCTAAAACAGGGACGAAACTACTCCTGGAGTTCTCTTCGATTTTGGAATGGATGTGATGAGAGAACATGGAATTTTGTCGTTATCCCCCTATCTCCAGTATTCAGTCATTGTATACGCTGATGTACGTGGTTTCTACAGCTGATGATGATGCTATCTTGGAAGCATACTGCCTTCAGACTTGACCGTTGACCGTGAGCTAGGATCTTGTGGTGCCAAAACTCGTATGGCTTTTGACAACCCAGATAAACAGGCATGGAGAAACCGAGGACTCCAACTCGAAACCAAAGTGGACATTTAAAAGGCAGTAACCCTGGTGTAGGGCGTTGAAATGCTAATCATGTGCTGGCACAGCATTCGGTACCCGATTAGCTTTCACGTGCACTACTCCTGTCGAATACTTGGTATCAGCTGCACTGATCGAGTGCTAAACTTGGAGGTTTAACGCCGGTCTCGTTGTGACGAGATAGTTGCCACGTCCATATACAACTGCTTACGGTGTCCAGGACCGGTTAGCCTGTGTCGAACCAAGGTTCATATAGAGTTCATGAGTTGCAATCAAACTTGGGACTCCGTCGGCTTCGAACACGCGGTATAAACTCTGCTCAACCCACTGCATTGCGTTAACCAGCTTACTTCGATTACGGATGGGAATGTTGTATCTTGGGCATCTCTGAAACGTGCCAGGCTTTTGCACTCCATCCATTCCATTCCCACCTTATTTCTAGCTTCTTTCTGTAACCTTTTTTACTTTCTTCCTCATTGATTTTTGTCTTTGTAGATTAGCCGTTATGGGCACCGATAAAGTCGCAACCGAACGCACTTTGAATCAAATGAAACTGCAACTGTCCGATCTGCGATCGCGCTGTTCCCAACAACAGGCTGACCTGGAATCACAGCAATCAATATCTGCCGACCTCGAATCTCGGCTGAACGAACAAACTGCAGAAGTTAATCGTTTGCAGCCAAAGGTTGTCGAACTGGGCGAATGTCTTTCTGTGAGCACCCATCTTCTCATGACCCCCTTTTGTTCTCTGTTGTTATCTCCGCTTGTTGGTTGCCTCTTGGTTTTTCGGTTTCAAATGGCTTCATAATTTCTTACAATAATCTTAAACGCTTAAAAATGAAAACTACTTCCGGAATCCATAATGTGAAGTCGTCCCCTAGATTGTTGTCATTTATATCTAACAAGCCTCTCTCAATGGTGTTCTTATGCGCCGCCATCTTGGCGTCCGATTTTTCTAATTTGCGTAGCTTTTTCGGGGTCGTACTTAAGATGATGTACCATATACACACTATACACAAAGTGCTCGAGGACTAAGCTTCCCCACACACAAGCGGGAAACCTTAGGTAGCGATCATTTTTGTATTACAGGCCACACTTATAGACGTGGCCCTTTTCGCGCTCGATAGCGCTCCTATATACAAACTGTTACCTCCCATGCATGGTTCTATTGGCTCCGCGCAACCCATGTGCTGTCATAAGTGGTTATGATCTTCAGTGTTCTGGACTGTCGCTTTCCATACAAACTGCTCCCATGCATGGTTCTATTGGCTCCGCGCAACCCATGTGCTGTCATAAGTGGTTATGATCTTCAGTGTTCTGGACTGTCTGTCG